ATGATGGAATGGAGAATGTAATGACTGAATGAATGAGTACCATGGAGACAGGTGAATGAGATGGATGATAGATGATGATGATAATAATGAATGAGATGAGTGAATGAGATGATGAATGAATGAATGTGAACAATGGAGACTGTGAATGAATGAATGATGTAACAGATGAGACTGGTGAATGAATGATGAGTAACGAAATGGAGACTGGTGAATGAAATGAAGTAACGATGATGACATGAATGAATGTGAATGAATAATGAATGAACTGAATGAATGAATTAATGAATGAATGATGTAGATGGGATAGGTGAATGAATGGATGATGAGACTGGATGAATGATGAGTAAAGATGGAGACTGGTGAATGAATGATAAGATGAGATTGAATGAATGATAACCGATGGAGACTGGTGAATAGAATGAGTAATGATGGAGACTGGTGAATGAATGAGTAAACGATGGAGACTGGTGAATGAATGAGTAAACGTGAGACTGGTGAATGAATGAGTACGATGACTGGTGAATAGATGATAACTGAGGATACTGGTGAATGATGAGTAACAGATGAAGACTGGTGTGATGAATGAGTAACAGATGGAGACTGGTGAATGATGTAAGTGGAGATGGTGAATGAATGATAACAGATGGAGACGGTATGAATGAATGAGTAACCATGGAGACTGTGAATGAATGAGTACGTGAACTGGTGAATGAATGAGTAACATGATGGTGATGAATGAGTACCGATGAACTGGTGAATGAATGAGTAACGATGGAGACTGGTGAATGAATGAATGTGAACCAGATGGAGACTGGTGAATGAATGAGTAACAGAAGAGACTGTGTGAATGAATGATAACGATGAGATGTGAATGAATGAATGGAATGGGAATGAATGAGTAACGATGAGACTGAATGAATGAATGATAACGATGGATGGTGAATGAATGTAACGATGGAGACTGTGATGAATGAGTAACCGATGGAGACTGGTGAATGAATGAGTAACCGATGGAGACTGGTGAATGAATATGAGTAAACCGATGGAGACTGGATGAAGAATGAGTAACGATGGAGACTGTGAATGAATGAGTACCGATGGAGACTGTGTGAATGAATGATGATGATACTGATGTGAGCTGGTGAATGAATGATGTGATGAACGATGGATGTACTGTTTGTTCTTGAGCAGTGATGATGAGTAACGATTGGAGACTGGTGAATGAATGATTAACTGATTGATACTGTGATGAGATGAATGAGTAACGTGGAGACTGGTGATGATGAGTAATTCTCGATGATGACTGGTGAATGAATGAGTAACCGATGGAGACTGGTGAATGAATGGTACTTGAACTGTGAATGAATGAGTAACCGATGGAGCTGGTGAATGAATGAATGACCATGATGACTGAATGAATGAATGAGTAAACATAGGAGACTGATTGAATGATGAGTAACCGATGGAGACTGGTGAAGAATGAGTAACCGATGGAGACTGGTGAATGAATGAGTACCGATGGGAGACTGGTGATGAAGAATGAGTAACAGATGGAGACTGGTGAATGAATGCAGTAACGATGGAGACTGGGAATGAATGATAAACTGATGAAGATGCGTAATGAATGAGTAACCGATGGAGAACTGTGAATGAATGAATGAACCGATGAAGACATGATGAATGAATGAATGAGGATGGATACTGTGATGGAAAGCTGGTGAAAAGAATAGTAACAATGAGACGTTGAATGAATGAGTAACTATGGAGACTGGTGAATGAATGAATAAGATGGAAGAAGGTGAATGAATGAATGAGAACAATGGAGACTGATGGGTTTAACTGAATGATGACAGATGGAGACTGGTGAATGAATGAATGGGAAATGAATAATAATGAAAAATATGGGGCTGGGTGAATGAATGAATGAGAAAGGATGAATGGATGGTAATGAATTAATGATAACCTATGGAGACGGTGGATGAATGAGTAACATATGGAGACGGTGAATGAATGAATGAATGAATGAATGAATGAATTTAAAGAAAAATGAAAGGTAGGTGGAGATGGTGAATGATTAATAAAAATGGGTAAAATTTAATTTAAAAATGATACGTTGAGACGGTGAATAATGGACGAATGCGGGGAATGAAATGAGTAACATGGAGCTGGTGAATGAAAGAATAAAAGAATGGGGAAAGAATGAATGATAAACATATGGAGACTGGTGAAAGAATGAATGAGTAACCGATGGAGACTGTGATAATGAGGTAACCGATGGAGACTGGTGAATGAAATGATGAGAACCGATGGAGACGGTGGGAAAGAATGAATGAGTAACAAGGAGACTGGTTTAATGAATGAAATGAAAGAGGAAGATGGGGATGAATGAATAAGTTCAGAAATGGGGAATGGTAATGAATGTAACCGATGGAGACGGTGAATGAATGAATGAATGAACAGAAAGAAGAATGGTGAATTTAAAGGAAAGGATGAATGGGGAAATGGAATGGAAAGGAAAGATATAATTAATTAATTAAATTTAAATTATTAATGATGAAAAGGTAAAATGGAGACTGTTTAATGAACTATAAGAATTTTTTAAGAAAAGGACAAAATTATGAGGTGATGAAAGGTTTGCTGATGTTAACTGGGCCCGGTGTGTGTGATGTGTTGGCTATGGGCCCGTGTGTGATGCTTCGTGCTGTGTGATTGTGTCCGATTGCTGGTTGTTTTTGTTACGTTGGAGCAGTGTTTATGATGTGCGTGATGTGAATTTCTGTTGTTTTTCTAGTGGATGGATTGTTTTTGATGTTTTGGTGGATGGTTTTCTGGTGTGTTTGTTTGTTCGTGGCCCGGTGTAATGTCCGTGTACTGGTGCTGTTTTTGGTCCGTTTAGCCTGTGTTAGTAATCGCCGAGCTGGGCTGTTTAAATTTTTGATGAAACTGGTTAAATAAAAAACAATGACTGTTTAGCCCGCCACAAGGAACGGTAATAATGACTTGTTTAAAAGTGAGAGGGGTTGAAAGAGACAAGGGCTGGAATATTTTATGTTTAATGAGTTAGAATACAGACTGGAAGCTTTAAAAGGAGGGTGGTGCTTGAAATCATTGTTCTTCCTCTGTTAACCATGGTTACCCTGCAAGGAAACACGTGCCGTCATCATTGCTTTGCACAAAAAGGGCTTCACAGGCAGGATATTGCTGCTAGTAAGATTGCACCTAATTCAACCATTTATCGGATCATCAAGAACTTCAAGGAGAGAGGTTCAATTGTTGTGAAGAAGGCTTCAGGGCGCCCAAGAAAGTCCAGCAAGTGCCAGGACCATCTCCTAAAGTTGATTCAGCTGCGGGATCGGGGCACCACCAGTGCAGAGCTTGCTCAGGAATGGCAGCAGGCAGGTGTGAGTGCATCTGCACGCACAGTGAGGCAAAGACTTTTGGAGGATGGCCTGGTGTCAAGAAGGGCAGCGAGGAAGCCACTTCTCTCCAGGAAAAACATCAGGGACAGACTGATACTCTGCAAAAGATACAGGGATTGGACTGCTGAGGACTGGGGTAAAGTCATTTTCTCTGTTGAATCCCCTTTCCGATTGTTTGGGGCATCTGGAAAAAAGTTTGTCCGGAGAAGACAAGGTGAGCGCTACCATCAGTCCTGTGTCATGCCAAAAGTAAAGCATCCTGAGACCATTCATGTGTGGGGTTGCTTCTCAGCCAAGGGAGTGGGCTCACTCACAATTTTGCCTAAGAACACAGCCATGAATAAAGAATGGTACCAACACATCCTCAGAGAGCAACTTCTCCCAACCATCCAAGAACAGTTTGGTGACTAACAATGCATTTTCCAGCATGATGGAGCACCTTGCTAAAAGGCAAAAGTGATAACTAAGTGGCTCCGGGAACAAAACATCGACATTTTGGGTCCATGGCCAGGAAACTCCACAGACCTTAATCCCATTGAGAACGTGTGGTCAATCCTCAAGAGGCGGGTGGACAAACAAAAACCCACAAATTCTGACAAACTCCAAGCATTGATTATGCAAGAATGGGCTGCTATCAGTCAGGATGTGGCCCAGAAGTTAATTGACCAGCATGCCAGGGCGGATTGCAGAGGTCTTGAAAAAGAAGGGTCAACACTGCAAATATTGACTCTTTGCATAAACTTAATGTAATTGTCAATAAAAGTGTGAAACTTATGGAATGCTTGTAATTATACTTCAGTATACCATAGTAACATCTGAGAAAAATATCTAAAAACACTGAAGCAGCAAAACTTTGTGAAGACCAATACTTGTGTCATTCTCAAAACTTTTGACCACGACTGTAGATATATAGGAGGGAGTCTGCGACTGTCCTCGTCTTGGCATGTGCGTGTGCGTGTGCGTGCAGTAAAACGGAAAGTGAGATGTTCCGTTGATTACTGTCATTACTCTTCAACACATCAGACTTCATCTTCATATATCTTTGTCCCTTGGAAGACAGATGACTAGTGATGTTAATGCAGGACTATAGTTGAGTATCCCCCCCTGGTGTTAGCTCTACAGTACTACATGCAGATGGCTGCTGAACATCATGGTGGGATGAAGTGGTGCTACAGACCAGTGTTTCTCAAACCTGGTCTTTGGGGGACCCAAAGGGGTGCCATTTTGTTTTTTTGTCCTAGCACTCGCACAACTGATTTAGTGTTGATTAGTGGAATCAGATGTGTAGTGAAATAGCACCCTATTTACAGTTCAGACTCTGCAATGCCACACCAGTCAAGTGGATGGATTATCTTGGCAAATTTGTACACAATATGTGAGAGAAATAAGCTTTTTGTGCATATGGAAAATTTCTGGGATCTTTTATTTCAGCTCATGAAACATGGGACCAACACTTTACGTGTTGCGTTTATATTTTTGTTCGGTATAAATAGACTAATCTCCCCTCTATCTGTTCCTTTCTTTCTTTCTCTCTTTCTTTCTCTCTTTCTTTTCTCTCTTTCTCCCCTCCTCCTCTGCCAGATACATCCGCACCATGTACCTGGGCGTCCAGAGTCGTCGTCAGAAGGAGAACCACAGGCGGTTCTACTGGGCCATGATGTATGAGTACGCTGACGTCAACATGCTGCGTCTGCTGGAGACCTTCCTGGAGTCAGCTCCTCAGCTGGTCCTGCAGCTCTGTATCATGATCCAGAGGAACCGGGTCGAGACCCTGCAGTGTAAGAGACAGGTGTTCCATAGGGCTCCGTATTGCGACCGCTTTCCCTTTTTGGGGTTTTACCCCTTCCACCGTTTTTTTTACAAAAAAAAAAAAATACTTTAAAAAATCAGTTTCCTTGTTTATATTTGACCATAAGCAACTGTCATCACATTTGTCTGATTTAGTAGATTTTTTTTGTTATTCTCTTTTAGTTTTTCTTTCTCGTTTGACCGAAACTTGCATTTTCGATATTATTGTTACAAGATTTTGAAAATTTGATCAAAAATGTTTTTGTGTGAAAAAGTATGTGAATATTACAAAAACATACAAATTTTTATCTTCCCCCATGTGAAGGCAAATATTCGCAGCAGTTATTTGTTGAATGCAGGATTGTGCAGCGGGTTGATGGGCTATAATGCTGGACCCATTTCTACATTGAGGCGATGTGAGAGCTAGGCTGTACTGATGTTCTCGTCAAAAAACGGACCTGTTTAGGGGAAACAGGGCTGGTTTAAAAAAAAAATAAAACTGAACTGAGGAGTCCTATATGGGCCCGTATATGTATTTACCAAACAAATATATCTGAAAAATCACCTTTTTAGAGCTTATTTAAACCAAAAAAAAATTCACTTTTTTAAAAACACTCACTTTCAGGATATGCACATTAAACTGTTTTAAATTTTAATATTTAATTTTAAAATTTAGTTTTGCTAAAATTAAATGTGATTGTTTTGGTTGTCCTTTGGGCAGTTAGGAATTAATGTTAATGGTCTAGATTAAATTATTCATTATGAGGGTTGGGGAAAAAACCCCCCCCGGGAAATTTTTGAAAAAAGGAGGTGGTGCTTGAAATCATTGTTCTTCCTCTGTTAACCATGGGTACCTGCCAGGAACCAGTGCGTACATTGCTTTGCACAAAACGGGCTTCACAGGCAAGGAATTGCTGCCCTGTAAGATTGCACCGAATTCAACCATTATCGGATCAGCAAGAAACTTCAGGAGAGAGGTAATTGTTGAAAGAAGGTCAGGGCGCCCAAGAAGTTCCAGCAAGTGCAGGACCATTCTCCTAAAGTTGATTTCAGCGAGGGAGCGGGGCACCACCAGTGACAGAGCGCTCAGGAATGGCAGCAGGCAAGGTGTGTGAGTGCATCTGCACGCACGTTGAGCAAAGACTTTTGGAGGATGGCCTGGTGTCAAGAAGGGCAGCGAGGAAGCACTCTCTCCAGGAAAAAACAGTCAGGGACAGACCGGCTACTCTGCAAAAGAACAGGGATTGGACTGCGAGGAGGAACTGGGGTAAAGTCATTTTCTGCGTGAATCCCTTCGACTTTGTTTGGGGCATCTGGAAAAAAGTTTGTACGGAGAAGACAAGGTGAGCGGCTACATCAGGTCCTGTGTCATGCCAAAAGGACAGCATCCTTGAGACCATTCATGTGTGGGGTTGGGGTGCTTCTCAGCCAAGGGAGTGGGCTCACTCACATTTTGCCTAAGAACACAGCATGAATAAAAATGGGTTACAACACCTCATCAGAGAGCAACTTCTCCCAACCATCCAGAAAAAAAAACAGTTTGGTGACTAACAATGGCATTTTCCAGCATGATGAGACACCTTGCTAAAAAGGCAAAAGTGATAACTAAGTGGCTCCGGGAACAAAAAATCGACCCATTTGGGGTCAATGGCCAGGAAACTCCACAGACCCCTTAAGACATTGAGACTGTGGTCCAATCTCACGAGGGGGTGGAAAACACAAAAACCCACAAATTCTGACAAACTCAAGCATTGATTATGCAAGAATGGGCTCTATCAGTCAGGATGTGGCCCAGAAGTTAATTGACCAGCATGCCCAGGGCGGATTCACGAGGTCTTTGAAAACGAAGGGTCAAACTGCCAAGATTGACTCTTTGCATAAAAACGTATGAATTGTCCAATAAAAGTGTTGAACACTTATGGAAGTTGTATTTATACTTCAGATACCATAGTAACATATGAGAAAATACTAAAACACGGAAGCAGCAAAACTTGTGAAGACCAATACTTGGTCATTCTCAAAACTTTTGACCACGACTGTAGATATTTAGGAGGGAGTCTGCGAATTGTCTCGTCTTGGCAGTGACGCTAGTGTGCGGGGTTGCTGGCAGTTTAAACGGAAACGTGAGATGTTCGTTGATTAACTGTATTACTCTTCAACACATCAGATTCATCTTCATCTATCTTGTCCCCTTGGAAGACAGATGACTAGTGATTGTTAGGCAGGACATAGTGGTATCCCCCCTGGTGTTAGCTCTACAGAGTATAAATGCAGATGGTCCTGCTGAACTCATGGTGGATGAAGTGGTGATTACATGACCAGTGTTCTTCTCAAACTGGTCTTTGGGGGGGACCCCAAAGGGTGCCATTTTGTTTTTTTGGCCTCGCAACTCGCCAAACTGGATTTAGGTTGATTAGTTGGAATTCCGATGTGTAGTGAAATAGCACCCATTTACGTCAGACTCGCAATGCCACACCGGTCAAGTGGATGGCTTCTCTTGGCAAATTGTAAACAAAAAAACAACAAAAAACTATGTGAGAGAACTAAGCTTTTGTGCATATGGAAACTTTCTGGGCTCTTGTTTAAGCTCAGAAACATGGGACCAACACTTACGTGTTGCGTTTAGTATTTGGTTTCAGGTATAAATAGGACGAATCTACCCTCTAATGGGCTTGAGTTCTTGCTCGCGTTCTTGCTATCTTCTTTTCTCGCTTTCTCCACATCCTCTCGCCAGAGATACATCCGCACCATTGTACCTGGGCGTCAGAGTCGTCGTTAAGAAGGGAGAACCACAGGCGGTTCTACTGGTCCATGATGTATGAGTACGCTGACGTCAACATGCTGCGTCTGCTGGAGACCTTCCTGGAGTCAGCTCCTCAGCTGGTCCTGCAGCTCTGTATCATGATCCAGAGGAACCGGGTCGAGACCCTGCAGTGTAAGAGACAGGTGTTCCATAGGGCTCCGTATTGCGACCGCTCCGGTTTTGGTTTGACCTCTTCCACCGTTTTTGTTACAAAAAAAAAAAATACTTTAAAACAAGTCAGTTCCTTGTTGATATTTGTACCATAAGCAACTGTCATCACATTTGTCTGATTTAGTAGATTTTTTTGTTATGTGCTCTTGGAGTTTCGTTTCTCAGTTTGACGCGAAACTTGCATTTCGATATTTAATTGTTACAAGAGTTTTGAAACATTTTGAATCAAAAGTGTTTCATGTGTGAAAATAGTATGTGAATATTACAACACATGACAAAATGTTGAGTCTTCTCCATGTGAAGGCAACTATATCGCAGCAGTGTATTTGTTGAGATGCAGTATTGTGCAGCGTGGTTGATGGAGCTATAATGCTGGACCCATTTCTCACATTGCAGGCGATGTGAGAGCGTAGGCTGTACTGATGATGTCTCGATCAACACGGACCTGTCTTAGGGAAGCAGGACTGGTGTAGTAAACAAAATAATGCTGAGACTGAGGATGTCCTAATATGGACACCGTAGTAGTGTGATTCAACCAATCATAATATATCTGAATATCACACTATTTTAGAGCTTATTAACCAAAACAAAAATTCACTTTATCACTGCACTTTACATGGATATGCACATTAAACATGTTATATTTCAATATTTAATTTAACAGTTTAGTTTAGCTAAAATTAAATGTGATTAGTTGGATTGTCCTTTGGGTCAGGTTAGGAATTAATGTTAATGTGTCTAGATTAATTATTCATTATGAGTGGAAAACAGATTGACTGTCCTGCAGAAACTTCATGCTCCCAGCCCTCTGCTCGGCTCCAGACATTCTTACTGGACTTACAGAACAACACGTTTCACACAGAAATAATCACCTTTATTATATCCCATCTTTCTTAGCTACATGTCTGGTGCGCCTATGAAGAATGAAGAGAGAGAGAGAACAGGGAATGCCGCTCTATCGCGAGTCTTCCTCAGCTCTCGATCGCTCGATCTCTCTATCTTCGCGCCCCGATTCCGCCTCTCTCGATCTCTCTCTCTTCGAGTTCTCTCTAGCTCTCCTCCTACGCGCTATCGCTACGCGAGATTCGCGCGGACGCACGCGCGAGCTCGACGCCGAGCTAGGAGCTAGAGCACGCGTCCCGCGCTCGCGCACCAAAAAGTAGGTCGGCTCGCGGCAGGGCGGACTTTTAAAAATAAGCGAGTGGGGGAGCCAAAAGGCCCCTTTATGGTGATTCCCATCAAAATTGTAAAAATTTTTTTGGTTATAAAAAAAAAAATTTTTTAAACTGAATTTCATGGGATATGTTTAAATTTTTTTTTTAAAATTTAATTTTTAATTTATTTTTAAAAAAAAGGAAGGGAGGGGGGGGAAAATGAAGGGAAAAAGGGAGGGAAAAACGGGACGCCGAAAAAAATTTGAAGGCGGGGCCCAGAAATTTTAGGGAACCAGAAAAAATTTTAAAAGAAAAAAAAACCCACCCCCAACCTGGTCCCCCCCTTTTTTCCCCCCTCCCCCCCCCCCCCCCCCCCCCCCCCCCGCCCCCCCGTCCCCCCACCCCCCCCCCTCCCCGCCCCCCCCCCCCAAAAAAAAAAAACCCCCCATGGGCCCCCCAAAAAAAAAGGGGGCCCGAAAAAAACCCCCCCCCCCCCCCCCCCCCCCGGGGGGGGGGGGGGGGGGGGGCCCCCAAAAAAGGGGGGGGGGGGTTTTTTGGGGGTTTTTTTTGGGGGGGGGGGGGGCCCCCTTTCCCTCTCCCCCTCTTTTACCCCTCTCCCCTTTTTTCTTTTTCCCCCCCCTTTCCCTCCCCTTTTCCCTTCCGGGCCCCCTCTCCCCTTTCCTCTCCTCTCCCTTTTCCCTTTTCTTTTCTCCTTCCCTTCCCCCTTTATCTCCTCCTTCCCCCGGGGATTTCATCCTCCCCCTTCCTTTTGGGGGGTTCGGCCCCCTTTCCCACAAACCCTGCGTGACTCCCGTGACGACAAGATGAGTATGAGCTACCGTGGGGCCCTGGTACACCTGTTCTGGCGCCTCTTCACCATCTCCTCCCGGGTCCTCTCCTTCGCCCTGTTCGCCTCCGTGTTCCATATCTACTTCGGCATCTTCGTGGTGATGCACTGGTGCGCCATGGCGTTCTGGGTAATCCACGGTGGCACCGACTTCTGCATGTCCAAGTGGGAAGAGGTTGTGTTCAACATGGTGGTGGGCGTGGTCTATGTGTTCTGCTGGCTGAACGTGCGGGAGGGCCGGACACGCTACCGTATGGTCACCTACTACACCGTGGTGCTGCTGGAGAACGCCGTGCTCACCGCGCTCTGGTACGCCTACCGCGACCCCGCCACCACCGATGCCTACGCCGGCTCCGCCCATCTGCAGCGTCTTCCTGTGCTTCGCCTCGGGCGTGGCCTGCATGGTTCTCTATTACGGGGTGTTGCACCCCATGGGCCCCGGGCTCCGGGTCCTGGCTTCCTCCTGCTGCGCTGAGCTGCTGTGGGGCCTCCCCCTGCCCCCCGAGGCCGAACCCATGGCCCCTACCCCGGGCCCCCGAGGCTCCCAGGCCACCCCGACACGGGCCTTTGCGGGAGATTACAACGGGCAGGATGAGGAGGCTACGGATACCTGCCTGCCCGTGTTCCAGGTGAGGTCCACAGAGCCGGTGGATGCAGCCGGGAGACCCACCCGGCCAGAGGGGCCCCTCATCAAGATAGACATGCCCAGAAAGCGCTACCCGGCCTGGGACGCACACTTTGTGGACCGCCGGCTGCGCAGGACCATAAACGTGCTGCAGTACATCAGCCCCAACGCGGTGGGCATCAGGTATAGGGATGGGCCCCTTCTCTATGAGCTACTGCAGTACGAGTCCTCTCTCTGAAGGAATGCTCTCCATCCTTCTCCCTCCCTCTCTCTCCCTCTCTCTCTCTCTCTCTCTGTCTCTCTCTCTCTCTCTCTCTCTCTCTGTCTCTGTCTCTGTCTCTCTCTCTCTCTCTCTCTCTCTCTCTCTCTCTCTCTCTCTCTCTCTCTCTCTCTCGCTCTCTCTCTCTCTCTCTCTCTCTCTCTCTCTCTCTCTTTCTGTTCTTCCTCTCGCTGGATCTTCTCCTCCGTCTACATCTGGTGCTCTTTCTTTCACCTCCCTCTCAGTCATCCAGTCCTCCTATAGGAGACCTGTGTGTGTGTGTGTGTGTGTGTGTGTGTGTGTGTGTGGTGTGTGTATGTGTGTGTGTGGGTGTGTGTGTGTGTTGTCAACTCTACCAAGAAGCTGTCAAGACTATATACATACATTACTTTATTTTGGGAAAAGAAAACATACAGAAAAATGATTAATCTAATATAAAAGATACATAGATTTTTTTTGGAGTGAGATATATAATCCTCTTGGGGCATTATCTGTCCATCTGTGTGTCTGTCTGAGTGTGTATATAAAGTATGACTGTGTAACTATGATGTATGTTCATATACTGTGTTGGTGATGATGAAGATGAAGATGATATTTGCGGGGGGGATTTGTTGTTCCTGTCATGTGACCGATGCAATGCCTGATGGGAATGATGGAGGAGGTTTGAAGCTGTGGCAGTTCTTTGCACCCAGAGACCAAACTAACTGCCGTATCTTTGCAGAATTGAATTCTTAAAATGGCTGAACACAAATGACAGACTATCAGAGCCAAATAAAGAACCATCAGACCTACAGTTGAGAAGCACACAGGTATCAGATTACAAAAGGAACGCATGGATACATTTAGGCATTTAAAATGTCTGCACAACATGCGACTAGACTATGAATGTTGATCACCTCCTCCCCAGCCCTGGAAATGTGTCGTATCGTTTCATACTCTCTGCAGAGGTTATCCCTAAGCACAGGTCTAGGACCAGCTCTCTATACACCAATCCAAATTTCAACTGTTTGAGGAAAAAATAAGCCAAACTGACCTTGAATCAGAGCTTATAGGCACAAGTTCCCCATAGTGTAACAAACAATGTCCTCTGCTGGTAGCATTCTGTAACAGCATGCTAGATGTGGTTATTCCATAGGATGGTTGACAATAAATTCAGTTAAATCCAGTTGAAATTCAAACTGGGTCACATGAGACAAGCATTAGCTTAGACACAACCCTTCTCTCCACTGACATGTCTTTCACCAGTAAGAAAAACAAATAACTTTACATTTCTCTAGCCAAGAAGACAGCACAATGTTTAGAGGTGTTTCTACACAACCGTTGAAGGGTGAAATGTGTTCTGTTTTATAAACGAACAACTGAAATTCTGAATATAGTCAAATATCTAAATAAATCAAATACGTTTAGAGGTCACATGGTGGCTGTTTAAAAGCAACCATCAAACAGCACACTGTGACATTATAAAATGGCCAAAGAACAGATGGTTGTTGGTGCAAAGGCTGTGTCTTTCACTGTTCCAAAAAAAAAGTGATGCTAGAGAGAGGTAGTAGCTAGGTGACATCCTCCTAGAAGAGAAGAGGAGAAGACGAATAAAAGAAGAAGAGAGAAAGAAGCGGGGAACTAATAGGAAGAAAAAAACACCAAGAAGCAGCGACTACGCACGAGTGAGACATACGAATCCCCCTCCTCCTCCTCCTCATAATCCTTCTCCTCCTCCTCCTCTTTCTCCCTCCTCCTCCTCCCCCACCTGCACATCTTTCATTTCCCTCCTGTTTTCTATTCCTGTCTTTCTTTATGTGCTTTTAACCACGAGGTCGTAGGTTGAACAATAACCACGAGGTCGTAGGTTGAACAATAACCACGAGGTCGTAGGTTGAACAATAACCACGAGGTCGTAGGTTGAACAATAACCACGAGGTCGTAGGGAGAACAATAACCACGAGGTCGTAGGTTGAACAATAACCACGAGGTCGTAGGGAGAACAATAACCACGAGGTCGTAGGGAGAACAATAAGCTCATCGGTTCTTCAAACAGAAACCTTGACCAGCATGTGTTGATATGTCATATTGTATTATACTTCAGTCTCATTGTTGTACCCTTTTATTTTGTACTGTTCACATGGTGATGATGATGATGGTGGGGGTGATGATGGTGGTGGTGGTGATAATGATGATACTTTGCCTGAGTGTACCTGTATTTTTTGTTAGTTTTTTTTTACTCAACATGTGTGCTCTGAAAGAGAATACTGTATAGCACAGGAGGTTAGTGCCACCTTAATTGGGGAGGACGGGCTCGTGGTAACGGCTGGAGCGGAATCAGTGGAATGGTATCAAATACATCAAAATAAATTCTTTCCATGTGTTTGATGCCATTCCATTCGCGCCGTTCCAGCCATTATTATGAGCCGTCCTCCCCTCAGCAGCCTCCACTGCGTTATAAGGAGGACAGGTCGAGAGAGAGAGAGAGAGAGAGAGAGGGAGGGAGAGACTGACGGGGCGAGAGGGTCTTGCCAGGGGTGGAAAAGAACACAAGGACAGACTGTGTGGCAGAGAAAGGTATGTGTGTTATTCCCTCACCCAGTCACACAGCCCTGTTGTCTTGCCAACAGTTTGACTCCATCCCTGGTTGCTGCTCTGCCCTCTCCCCCATCCCATGGTGCCGTTCCCATGACAACCTTCACTTCCTGTTCCTGGGTGCAGAACAGAGTGGTTGCCACGCCAACCTTCACTTCCTGGTTACTAAGGGGCGGGGGGCGGGGCTGAATGACTGGAGATACTGAAGTGAGGACATCCAATGAGGTGCACTGCCATGCCGAGGTGCTGAAACCTCTGGGTGTAGGCTATAAGACTACAACCATTTAGTCTAGCAATGTTTATCCCATCAAGGTGGTTAGGGCTAAAACTACATACATTCACCATCTTGTTGTGTAGGCTAAGACTAGAAGCATTCAGCCCTGATTATTGGGAGTGACTGGATCAGTTCCAGTGGAACATCGGACTCAGTAATCATCTGTAGAATAGTCCTTCCTGTCGGAATGCAACTTCTTCTTCTACGTTTTCTGACACAGTCAGTGATCCTTTTAGTTTTTATTTTGTATGAAATAAATCAAATGAACAATAAAATGGCACAGTAAAAAAAAAACACACAAATAAATAAATAAACAGGCCAAACCAGGGATTGGTTCCTCAGGACCAATAGGATCATGTCCACTGAACCAGCTGACTCAGGGGTCTCTCGACGCGGTCATGGGCTATTTAGTGCACTACTTTTGACCAGGCCCCATAGGGCTCTAGTCGAGTCGGTCTAAAGTAGTGCACTACGTAGGGAATAGAGTGCCGTTTGGGACCCGGCCACGGCATGTCCTCACGGAGCTCCATTCGTCCTCATACTGCAATGCATTCTGGTAAACTGTTGTCTTCTCGGATACCGCCAATTGTTTCTGTTTGATTTTATTTTCCCTCACGTGTGCGAGGTCACAGTATGTGCTCTTCAGTGTTTTGGTGGGCAGGTGTGTTTCGTGTGAGTTGGCTGCCTGGTAGGCATCGATTCTATGGTGCATCATTCCCCTCTAAAAAAAAACATAGAAGCTCTCCCTTTACCTATAGATATGGTATATATTGAGGTGTATATTGAGGTATATAAAAAAAAAATATTGAGTTGTATATTGAGGTATATACTGATGTATATATTGAGGTATATATTGAGGTATATATTGAGGAATATACAGTAGGGATATACTGAGGTATATATAGATATATATATATATATATTGAGGTATATATTGATTTATATATTGAGGTATAAATTGAGGTATATATTGAGGTATAAATTGAGGTATATATTGAGGTATATATTGAGGTATAAATTGAGGTATATATTGAGGTATAAATTGAGGTATAATTGAGGTATATACTGTAGGGATACATGATATGATATGTTTAGGCATATTATATAAACTAGGGATATACATCAAAGTCAGGTGCAGATAGAAGATACACTGTGATTCCCTCCATAGGTCATCATCATAGCCTTGTCACGCAGCGGACCAAGGCGCAGCGTGATATGCGTACATACTTTTAATGAGTACTTATTACCAAACACAAAACAACAAAACGATACGTGAAGTCCTAGGTAAATACACCAACACAAACCTACACGGAACAAGATCCCACAATACACTGTGCCAAACAGGCTGCCTAAGTATGGTTCCCAATCAGAGACAACAAGCAACAGCTGATTCCCGTTGCCTCTGATTGAGAACCACACCGGCCAACATAGATACACATGAACTAGATCCTAACATAGAAACACAAACACATAGAATCTACACACCCTGGCTCAACATATAAGAGTCCCAGAGCCAGGGCGTGACACCCTCACACCAAACCAGTATATTTCAATCATTATGTATAACTCATACAGCTCCACATACAGATCTTCTCATGGCACATTTCGGCTTTATCTCAGTAGTCGCTACTAACTTCAACCCAAGTACAGAGAAAACAGTTGAGACCCCCCCCCCCCCCCCACCACCTTCACCCACCACCTTCACCCTCCCAACTCCACCCCACAGTCACTACACACACACAGGGTGGACAGAGAGGACGAAACAGCAGCGGTCGGTTGGCTTGCTTCTCCTGGTTGTGGTGTTTCTCCAGGTGCTGTTGTCCAGCCAACTACTACTCCAGGTACCAGCGTCTTTCTGTACCTGGGTTTCATGTGCCAGTACAGTAACCAAGGGTGATCACAAATAGCATCCTATTCTCTATGTAGTGCACTACTCTGACCAGGGCCCAGACACTAGTACACTATATAGGCCCGTGGTTGTAAAGTAGTGCACTATATAGGGAATAGGGTGCCATTTGGGACTCAACCAAAGATGACTAGACACCAAACAACGTATCGGACATTGGCCAAAAACAACATAAAGAGGGAAGCTGGTATAACATAATAATAATAATAATAATAATAATAATAATAATAATAATAATAATAATAATAATAATAATAATAATAATAATAATACAAATATTGGAGTTACTGTGCCAATGAAGCTGATTCCAGAACCAGAACCAGAGCTTGGGTACTTTGTCTATGAAACTCAATCTCTAGTTCTGATGAGGCTGTACCCGAGCCTGGGTCAGGTGGATTGGTTCACCCTCAGCTGGATCCAAAACATCCTAGTTGATTCAGCCAGCCGGTTTGGTTGGTTTGGAATCTGATCAAGAGAGAATAGATACTGCAGAGAATGTTCCGGTACTCA